TAACGTCTTTAATATTTTCGGCGCCCCTATTTGCAAAATCAAACAAAAGCTGTCTGTCTTAATTAACCGCATCTTAATCAATACACAAACGAGAGCAGTACAACGAAGTTTTGGGAAACCGTTTTCGAATCTATACTCCCATCGTAAATTGTTGGCAAACTGCAATACCCGACACTACACTAATGCGTAAAAGTTACTTTGATGTAAGCTTTACTATAAGACTATTAGCAAAAGTCATTTTATTTATGCTGTCATATTGGCTCTGTTTTTTTCGTAGACAGATTTCCTGTATAACACAAAATGAAGTTTACAAGATTACAACTATTTTTGGCCTTTTCTGAATTATTCGCTCTTTCTGTGTGTCGTTGATCCCCATAAAGTTTTTTTCATTAATATAAATAGTCCATGTATAGTAGATGTGCTAACTCATGAAATGTCAACCAAAGTTTCGAAATACGTTCTCGTTTCGAAAAGATAAATTAAGCAGTGTTGTAAAGCAAATCATGCTGCAGCATAAATTTATAATGATTCAGTTACCCTTAGGTGTCGGCTTTCGAAAGAATTTATTTTCGGCTGCATGCCAGATCTATACCCTGCAAAAAATGACTACTTACGTAGTATGCAATTTTCTCATTGATTTTCGATACCCTTGAAAAATTCAATTATATTTCATGGAAAACATGCATAAAAATATTCATTCTTTTACTTTTTCCGTAAAAAGTCACGTCTTCTTCCGATTTAATACTCAAAAAAAGTGTATAATTCGGTTTTAAAAAAGTTTCTAATTGTGAGATTTTTAATACCGTTAAATGGCCGTTCATGAAACGTCATGTATCTGCATTTACGAATGTGGCTTGTAAAGTTAACAATATTGCTCAAATCCACTACTTAATTTTATGAACCTCATTTGGTCTCCTCTTAACACCGTAGAGAAATGCACGGTTTTCGGTACACGCAAAATATACAGCTTGTAGCTTCGAAATCCTGAATGCAAGTGTAACAGCAGGTCGGGTTCAAAATTATTCGGGAATTATAAAAGTTATTTTAAAACCGAATTATACACTTCTTTTGAGTGTAAAATTGGAAGAAGACGTAATTTTCTACCGAATAAGTAAAATAATGAATATTTTTATGCATGTTTTCCATGAAATATAATTGAATTTTTGAAGGGTATCGAAAATCAATGAGAAAATTGCATACTACGTAAGTAGTCATTTTTTGCAGGGTATAGATCTGGCATGCAGCCGAAAATAAATTCTTTCGAAAGCCGACACCAAAAGGTAACTGAATCATTATAAATTTATGCTGCAGCATGATTTGCTTTACAACACTGCTTAATTTATCTTTTCGAAACGAGAACGTATTTCGAAACTTTGGTTGACATTTCATGAGTTAGCACATCTACTGTACTTATTTTCATTTGCGAGTGATTGGCAAGCTTTCGTAAATATCGGCACTTTTTATTATTTACGTCACCTACTGTGCACATATCAACTAATTGTTCACTCATTAGGCCGACGCTAAAGTATTTCAGCTTTGTATAGTTAATAAGTCATGATTTCAGGCAACTATCTACGAATACTGGCTTTTAACGCGATAACAATGACTTGGTAAAAGACCCTTTTTCACCGTCATTGTGAACTTAACTAGGTCGGTCCTACCAGATCAAAGTTGATCTTTTTCAATTTCCCAAAAGATTTCTATTGCCAAGAACTATCCTAACTCTTTGAATCGATTGAAACCTACCCCCAGGACAGAAAAAGAAGAAGCAACGCTTTCTTTAAAGTTCATAGATAATGAATACCAATTTTCGAAAACCTAAATGCTTCCGTGCTACTTGAGAGAGCGTCAGCAGTCTCGGTTGTTAACGTTAAACAATCTCAAACCTACATTTGAGTTCTGCCTGTCCCAATGAAATGTCCTTTTCGGTTTTATCAAGAGAGTGAGAAGTGTTTAATAGAATTTAAATCAGCGGTTTTGGTGAAAATAAAGATTTTACTGGCGCCGAAGGCAAAAGTGCCTCGCTACACTAAAGAGGGCGGCAAACAGTAAGCTCACACAGATAACATATTTCGTTTTACTCGCAAAGTGAGACTTTGGAGCACGAAATTTCTTTTTTCTAACGTTAAAGCTGTAGAGGCCGATTTTAACAGTATTTATGGCCGTCTCGCTATTTCTTGTGTTCTTTGGGCACTTCCGTAAACGGCGTTACCCATTAGATGCCGACTGTTTTTGGCCGATTTTTCTGTTTTAAGAAAAACCTCCATCGGTGACGACATGGCCGAATTTTGGGCAGAACTTCAAAGGATAAATACAGCGTGTAAAATGTGAGACCAAGATTCTAAAATGCGTTTTCGATCAGGAAGAATTACTAAGGCGAGGTTATAATACTAATTATTATGCGGCATAATACTGTAGTATTTCGGACTCGGCAGGATGTCGGCTTTTGAATAGACTTCTTTTCAACCTCATTAAGAAACCACACTGGGTAAAAAATGACAACATATTTAGCATGCATTATTCACATTTTATGCCCGGAGAAAGGGTATATTAAGGCTTTGAAAACGTTCCCCAAATCCCGACTAATTCAGACCTTGATCTGTCGTTGTATTAGTGCTTAGCGATTTCAGACTACAAGGTGCATGCTTTCTACGTGTGAAAAATCTAACATTCCTTTACGTTTTTAAGGTGATACCATGGAGAGTTAATAAAATTTTGCTGTTGTTGCGGACTATGTTGTACATTTTATGAGAAGCAATGGCAAACGGACCTTTGCGATGCTGTATGTATTGGCATCGCGCGGTCTTAAAAATCTCATAAAAAAACATTTTTAAAGCCGTAAGACAAACTTTCTTTGCATAACGAACGTGAAGACAACGCGTTTCTCTACTAAACGAGGGGAAGAAAGCGTATTTGCGTGCAAGTTTTTTATAAAATATATTTGAACTCATAAGACCATCAAAAAACCTAGAAAATGCGTGCTAATTGAGCAGTCAATTTTTACCGAGTTGGTTTTTACAGGAGGTCAAAAGGAAGTGAATTTAAAAGCTGACAGCCTGGCGAGTCTGAAATACTATGAGATTGTGCTGCATGCCAATCAATTTTACAACCCCACTTAGGTAATCCTTCCTAATTAAAAATGTATTTCAGAATTTCGGCCAAAATTTCCTGAGATCGGTCACATAATGTAAATTTATAAAGTTATGGTAAAACAAATGCATTGGCCGCGTCTTTTAAGTCTTTTTCAAAGTCATTTATTCGTTTAGGCTTGGGGAGATTAACGCCAATTTCCCTTCCTTAATTAGACAATCATTTCATATAAGTGGAGTGGACGGAAGCATAGGAAGATCTAGTGCACAAAATCGCTGTCTTTCTTCTTTTCAAAGCGTTCTTCTTCGACCGACTGTTGTTTAATGGTTAGGAAAGTATCATTGAGAAGCTCTATAAGTGGTAAAATAATATTTAACGATTAACACATCATTCTTGCGTACCTAAATTACATCTGCACTTAGAGCCAATAGAAAGTCTCTCAAATCAAATTCGCCTTTAGGTAACGGCTTAGTAAGAAGTAAGAGCATATCGCCAGCCTCTTCTTTCCTATCCGTTTGTGCAAAGAAACCCATAATGTTGGGCAACACCAGATTACGGCTTTTACGAATGTTTCGGTCTACATAGAAGTCTTATGCTGAAAGTGCGTCCACAATCGTGAATACGTTGTCTGAATGTCACCTGTCCAGAATACAATAAAAGAATATCCGACGTCCAGATCCGTTGACGCACTACACACACACACACACACACACACACACACACACACACACACACACACACACACACACACACACACACACACACACACACACACACACACACACACACGAAAGTTCGACCATCGATTTCGATGATGTCCACCGTGCGCCCCACAGACTACATTGTGGGAGCAGGGACGGTTACTTACGCAGGTATTTATAGTGCCAGTAGACTTGCGTAGCATCTACATACACACTCTCCTCCTCCCCCGCCTGAGCCCCGTGTCAAGACAGAGTCAAGAAGACCGGAGACGGGGAAGGCCGCAGGTGGATGGCTCGAACGGATCCTCGCCTTGGCGCTCCACTCAGCACCCCCTGGTCCACACACAAATGACCAGGATTTTGACCACAAAACAATGGGGTGGTGGCAGTGGTCCAGTTGTACGACGAATGCCGACAGCAGGGTCTGCTAGCGCACGCCGCAAGAGTTGGCATTTTTTATTGCGCACAGATAACGCCTGCCAGAGTACGATGTGGCCCCGTGTTGGTCCAGCGCATCTAACACGTGGCCCGTTTAGAGGGCACACACACACACACGTCGGCCAACTCCTTGTTTCGAAAATTTGTTCACATAAATAATTAAGTAACTACCGATGCAAGCGAAAATGCAAGTCGTAAGAAGTAATTATAAAGAATATTTTCCGTCTGACATTTTGGATTTGTTCTCGGAACCGTCATTGGAAACTGCATCAGATATTGACAATCCATGAGCAAGAGGTTACAGTGTTTATAAGATATACTCGCCGTCCTACAGCGTACCTATCAAAATTGACGGCTCGCTTCCCCCAAGGTGGTCGCCCTCGATGCAATTATGATTTGATGCCAGCATTAGGGTCGTTAATCGCCGCGATTTCCGCACCCCTGTTGGACTTTGACCTGATAATAACTCTGTCATTTTGATAAATTCTCGTCGGGCCAGTACAATTATATGAGAAGGGGGTAGAAGAACAAACACGTCAGTGATAAGATAAATCGATTAAAGTTCACCTTAAGACACAGGTTGGGCGTGGGAACGTGGGGGGGAGGGTAATAGCAGTCAGTGTCGAGGGCGGGGTGAAAGGGCGTGGGAGAGTTGTAGCGTTAGTCGACCTTCGACCACTGTAGGCGCGGAGCCTGAACTGACGTGTTTGTACTTCTACCCTATTCCCATATAATTGTACTGGCCCGACGAGAAGTTATCGAAGGCTACGTATGCTCACCACCGCGTCTTCTGTTTACTGCTATCGGGATTTTCGCAAGTCTGACACTTTGCTCATCGACACCGCAACTGACAAAGATGCCCAACTGCTCGACGTGGCTAATTATGCCGCCAAAACCGTTTCGGCACTGAATATGTTGGGGCGGTCATTACACTTGGTAAGAGGCTGGGTTCCGATGAACTACGATTCCAACATTTCATGGCTTAAACAACTGCCAATTCTGGCGGCAATTTCGGCTACGTCGAACGTTGATGTGTGGCCGGGTCCAGCCACATGGGAGCTGGCGACATATCTCCGTACCGCCGCCATGTGTTCACTGACTCGTCTCCTCAGCAGTCTTCACTTTCTCCGTCGCAGTTGCTTTGCCTGCAAGTACAGTGGATCCGATAAACGACTTCAAATATTTATTGCCATGGCAGTGGGCCTCTTGGTCGCATTCGCTGGCGTCCGACAGTTGCCTCCGACCTTTGTGCCAATCCAACCCCACTTTTGCGAGAGGGCACCTGACGGCTCCCGAAACATTTCGGACGAACAGGAGTCCACTCAAACTTTATGGTCCGTGCGATTTGGCCTTTCTTCTGGTCTGCCTATATAGTGAGTGACGCAGTTGCGCGGATGACAATTTGCTCGAAACACTCCTTTGCCATCCGGTTCAATACAGTGGGTGTTAACACGCCGATATTAGCATCCCTACGCAACTGCGCTTGTGGCTGATTGGACGGTGGCCAATGAAGGTCACTCCCTGTGTCGCACTGGCCGCTCTCATGGATACTACACTTTAGACCACCACAATATCTGCGGCAGAACAGTACACCAAGAAAGGTTAACTTGTTGTTTTCTTGCTCCTTTATCGTAAACTGTATGTCTGAGAAGCAGACGATTAGGTATTTTGTGAACGTTAGCACCAGATTCTGTTTGCTAACGACGAGCAGAATTTCGGTCTGTGGTGCTTGAAGACAATCAACCCCAACCGCTCCTGGATCGATAAATCCATCAACGCGCCATCTTCCCGCTCATAGTGAATTACGTCTAGAGACAGAACTACAAGAAATGCAGATTCTGGGTGCGTCCACAGTGACTTTTCGTTTCATCTCATTCGCCTTTCTGGAGTAGTTGAATGGTCTTGACTGCCAGATGCTGTAAATTAAAAGTAAAAAGGCATGTGGCTTTGAGACTTCTTATGACGTCGTCTGGCAGGAGACTTACCGCTTTAGGTTTCTCCAAAAATTTTATTGACGAAAAGACGGTCAGCGGTCAGAGATTAGAAATGTAACAGTTGCTCTGCCACTCCGTGCGGGGAAGCACCTTTGAACGGCACGAGCTGTCCGTATCTGATGTTGTCTATGATTATGAAACCGAAACGTCGGACGAGACACGTTCTTGTTCTCTCGACAGTGTCTACTTTATTTCAGATTGATAAACTCTCGGTAATGGTTATTATCCCCTTATAAACAAGTACAGCACGTTTAACGAATACTGCTGACAGGTATTTAACACCACAGAGGTAATTTGCAGCCAAGTGACGGTAAATCACTCGACGGGTGTGTTCATTGTAACTTAGGTGGGTAGCGCACTCTATGCAAATTCCGGTGTCAACGTTCTGAATCTGTTAGGAAGAGCGCGTTTTAGACATATGAACGGTCCCATTGCCTAGTAAGCAGTGAAAAAGGATGGCCCAGTTATTCGGTAAAGCATTAAATCGAATGAAAAAGTAGTCCCTGGTTGCGTGGGGATTTTCGCAGTTGAAACCTGCGGACGTTTTACATAACAGCGGACATCCATTCTCTGGAGAGGTTTGCTTCTGCAGCCTACTTGATTGATACCATATGGCTAGCTTACTAAAGCAATTTTAATTAACATACCTAATTTGGACACTCTCTGGATTAGGAAGGGGAAGAAAGCGCAAGCAGAACCTGAAGCACGCGCAGAGAGGCGAATGAAGGTGGCATGTACACACTGTCACCGCGACAGAGCCACTCGCTGGATGTAGAGGATAAGGAGTGCGCAATCACAACTGAAAAGCCACGGAAGGAACCGCGTGCTAATTCGCAACGCATGGCCACTGTAGTGGAACCGACGGAGCTTCACACCGTCAGAACAATATCACTATCAGGTCAACTTGGTCTCTGACAGGATTACGATAATGAGGGAACGCAACCAGGGCTCAAAGCACGCGGAGGGAAGCGCGCGTGAACTGATGACAGAAGTAACTGAGTGACACAGTCACTCGCTGGATTAAAATGGTAAGGAATATGCAGAACCGTGATATTGTAAAGGTGACGTATCCGCATCTACCAATTTTTTTAGAAATCTGACCAAATGATATCACTCAAGTGGGGCTGCAGGGCCAATTCTCGTTCATTTTCTTTCCATCCAGCAATGATGGATCCCATTCAGTTTGCACTAACATTTTTAATCCTGTACATCTTCACTCTATTCGTTACAATACAGATATCCCATTGTACATCACACATTAATTAATGCTTATTTGGCACGATCGCTGAGTTGGACCTGAAAATATGGGTCCCGTAGTCCAACGGTGATCCCGCACTAAATACCAAGCGAGTGCTTATTCTCCTGTCTTAACTTTAATCCTGACATTATCTCGGATTTTTACAGTCACTAAAACTTTGCACAAACTATTTAATTGCAGTGCACAGTTGAGAGGTTAACTGTTATATATAAATGCGCTATGGGTTTCTGCGGGTCAATAACTATTATCGAAGATGGTGTGAAAAAAAGTGAGTTTTCATTTTTTACTTATTTACTTTTAGCGGTCACTTGCGCTTTAACCACAGCTCCGTAACAAATGGGTCCCTGAAATTAAAATGGCGCAAAATGTGAGTGGGGCAGACTGCCTACTAATGAACTTACAACGTTCTTATCAAGGAACTTAGGAAAGCGCTAAAGATAATCAAAAGTATTTGTTTATGGGGATCGATCCATCATGAATTCCTATTTTAATCTGCATCGGAAATTTAGTTAGAATTGCGGAAAAACACTTCCGTCTGTGTTCCCTCCAATGGCTCATGCCGTTTTGTGTTGTATGTTAGTATCTTCGTATATGAATATTTATGGTATGTATACATTATATGTTATACGGGCAAAATAGCATTGCCTAACTCCGAGGTTTGGAGCAACTGGGGCTCGATCCCGCGACCTGCTGGTAAGAATTCCAAAACCCTAACTACTGCGCCACGGACTCGTTGTCTTGTCGGTTGCGATCTCGAATATACAGTAGTAGACGGCAGCTCACCGATCGTGTTACGCAACTCACTTGTCCGTTTGTGCCTAGATGCTCACTCTTGAGTCTAAACAGCAGTCTCACAGCAACGCGCAATATAGACAGAATATTATATATGCATATATTGCAGCAAACAGTAGCAATTTACTGTTGTTTTGCGGTTTTACGTCCAACTTAGCGTGAGCCGTAGATGTGCTATCCCATAAAATGGTAATCAAAGTGTTAAAATGTGTTATCGGTTATAAAAGGTCCTTTACGTAGATTTGTCATATTAGTTATCACGCAGCACAATCCTACAATATTTCGGTCATGTCAAAATGCCAGCTTTTGAATGCGATGCTTTTCGGTTACCTGAAAGAGCCACTCTAAAAATGAATACCTAAATGGCATGAATTTTTCCAATTTATTATCGACGCCCTTATATATCTAGATATCCATTATGGAAAACAAGCACAAATATAAACTTTCGTGCAATCATTTGGCAGAAAATTACATTTTCGTCAGGGCCTGCACTTGAAGGAAAGTGTGCCTCTTATTCCTTAAAAAACTTCTAAGTTTTCCTGTATTTTGAACCCGACTTGCTGTTACAGTTAAATTCGGGGTTTCTGGACTACAGACTGTATATTGACCGCATAATGAAAATCATATATTTCTAAGTGCTATTGCGAAGACGTCGTATATGGCTCCTGAACGCAAGCGATAAATGTGGATCATGTTATATATTTCACAAACAACTCCGATCAGTAAGCGGATCCGATGTTCTATGAATGGATATTTCAAGATCTTAAAACCTAAATGTACCCCCTCGAGTATAAAACCTGAGAATTGCGTAATGGGTACAGTCACGAATAATGGGTTCAATAAGGGACATAATAACTAATATCCCTCGCTTGTTTTCTATAAAATTTCTATAAAAATTCACCACTATTCTTGAAGTTGCATGAACATTAAACATCAGTAGAAAAATGTCCGAGATATAAGTAGTATAATTTATCAGGCGATCGAAAAAAGCCTATCCAAAGGACGGCCCCTAACAGGGCTGAAATATTTTGGGATTATGTTGCACGATAACTAATGATACAAACCTACTTCAGCAATCCTTTCTTACCGAAAAAATCACTGTAAAATCTCGGTTAACATCTTATGGTAGCATATGCACTCATTAGAGCCTATTCTTTTGGAACAGTCGGTAAATGAGAAGAGAAAAGGGCACATTTTATACAGACCTGTTAACAGCTTATTCCTAAGTATCCACAATGAGCGGAGCCGAGGCCTGTTCAAGATGATCATAAAGAGAAAACTAGCGAATTTTCAGTAAGCGCATAGGACCGGTAGGGATTGCGGGAGAGAGTTCGTGGGACGAAAGGTTTCAAAGAAAAATTTATAGCATTTTTTCATGAAACTTGTTCGCACGCCTAAGTGGGACTGTGTTGCTATGACAGCAGCCAACGTATAAACTGTAAAGTTCGAGGGCATGGTTAAGAACATTTTTGAAAAATATGGCTATTCGAAAAAGGTTTAAAATTCCCAAGTAGGGAAAATATTGATGACTGCTTTCCGAGCAAAATGTTGGACGGCCTTTTGTACATTGTAGTCGGATTCTTCTTTAAGGCTCTTTATGTATGCTGGTGCGCTTTGCTTATGGATGCATTCCAGTTCCTCTGAGGGGGTTTGCAGACGTTTTAAATTCGTTTTCACTCGCGTTTTGAAGCGTGTTTTGCGAAGTCGGAGGAAGCGGCAATTCTCGCTAACTTCCACTCCGATAACTGTCTGTCCAAATCATTGCGCGTCCTCACGACGCATTTAATTTGTCCGATGTAAACAGTGTCACAGTCAAGACAAGCTCATTCGTAAACACGGTTCTCCTTTCTTCATCATCGGTTAAGCCTTTCTCTACTGTCGAGCTTTTTCGTTATGTCGGAGGTACTAAATACCACTCCTACAATGGTCGACTGTAGAATTATCTGTATTTTTAATTAGTGTGGAAAAAAATATGATTCGAAAGAAAGCAATTTTTTAACTTGTCGTTCCTTGCCAGCTGTGGCGCCACTCTTCAACAGATGTGGTTATGCAGCTCCACGTGAAGTAAACAAACCCCCGACACATGTCATACGGGACCGGTGGTAATAAGGGATTTTACAGGTGAGGCCGGGGAACGCAAGGGTGACGAGGTCAAGTAGTTGTATTCAGAAGAATAGCTATTGGAAATGCGCGATTGTGCTTTAAGCGGTTGGGAAATAGTTGCGCTAACCCCTAACCCTCACCCCTTAACCCTGACCGTTACCCCTAACCCCAACCCCAACAGTATTGTGTCTAACAGGTGGGGACACATAATTACATCTTACCGGTAT